TTCCCCTCGAGGCAGTAGGCCTTTGTGTGAGACTGGGAAGCCTGCAGCCACCTGTCCAGCCGCTTGCCCCTGCGGGGCGCACCTGCCGGGGTTCCGCGGTGAGGAAGGGCTTCCTGCTCGCCCTCCTTCACTTGCCCTGTGTTCCTGTCGGTGCGGACCCGTGGGTTCCCGTTGGGTTTCCCAGGCTGCCATCTGTTAGGATCGCGCTTGATGCACTAGTATCCCCAGATCTGACGAGGAGAGGCCCCTGAGTCAGGGCCTGAGCCCTTTGGCCCTGGCCCTGTGGCTCCTGGAGCGTGTTCTCGCGCTGGTGCAGTGGACTGTGCTCTTCCTGCCTCTTCGCCTGGGCCAGCCCTTTTCCCAAGGAGCCCGGTTCCCTTCTGTGGACAGCAGCGTCTGGAAGCTAAGACACACGCAGCAGGTGTGCGGCTGCCCCTCAGGAGGACAGAGCGGGGACCCGAGGGGTCAGGGCACACTTGAGGTGGCTGGTCGGGGCCCTCGCCGCTGCCCTGGCCACTCCGGCCCCACCTGGGGGTTGCCGTCCTCGATGTGGACACCCCGGCCTTCTGACGGGAGCAAAGGGCAGAGATGCCCGTGACCACAGCCACGGTCACTGACGAGACTTCCAGGCCCTGCTTTGTGCGCTGCCCTAGCCAGGACTCGCTTCTCTCCCTGTGGTCTGCTCGCCACGTCCCGTCCTCAAGGAGACAAGGGTGCTCCGTGTCAGCTCTGCGGCCAGGGCGCTCGTCCTCTGAATTGCTCCTGCCACATTCACAGTAAGGCAGGCGTCCAGGTGGCTCCCCTCTGGAGGCTGGGGCAGGTCTTCAAGGGGCAGACCCCCCAGGTACCTTTTCAGAAAGCAGATTCGGATCCAGGAGGGGTGGGTGTGGCCCAGGCTGGCAGAGGCACCTTATCCCCCCAGCAGCCCGGCGTCTCTCTTCCCTTGGCAGCCGCGCGCACCCATGGCCAGCTGCGTCCTGTCCCCGTGTCTATGCTCTACTGTGGATCTGCCCTCATGGACGTAGGTCAGAGGCTGGCCTCAGACTGGGGATGGGAGGCCCCGGCCAGCGCAGGACGCGGCCGCAGGATGCACCGCCTTCCGAGCGCTCTCCGGTGTTGACCCAGCCGTTCGCATCGGGAGCCGACCTCACGCAGCCGCACAGGCTGGGGAGCCCCCCGTGCCGCCGCCAGGATGAGAGTGGACTCGTCCAGCTGGCAAAGGGCCTGCTGAGCGAAGCCCACAGAAGCAGAGCATGGACGGCCTCCCGCGGTTCTACTGCCACTTTGAGGGAAGCGGTTCCGTGTCTGAGGTGGGCGCTGACGGCTCAGGAGCGACACGGCCTTCACAGACTCCGCGTGGCCAACTCTGCCTCCGTGTCCCATTGCTGGGAACCACGGTGACGACTTAGGGCCGAGAAATCCTCGTAGGACATGTGCTGGCACCTCTCTGGGGAAGAGGAGGGGGTGCCTGCCTGCCCGGTCCTGGGGTGATTCCAACATCAGGCCGGGGGGGTGCGGGGTGGCCTGGGGAGGTAGGGCTGCTGCATGAGGCTGCGCACAGCCGCGGTCCTGCGAGCCCCGCGCCCGGCGCCCCCCGTGCCCCCCTGAGCCCTCTGAGCCCCTGCGTGTCCGGTGCCCCCCACGCCCCCACACCCCTCACGCCCCCTGCACCCTCAAGCCCCCATGACGTCCGCATCCCCTGCGCCCCTCACCCCCGCGCACCCCTGCGCCGAGGCCCTTGGTCCCCACTGCACTGAGTTCCGAGGCAGGACTCTGGGGAGCAATTCTGCTCCACGGGAGTATGTGGGGTGAGGCCCTTGCGGGAGGAGATGCCCGGTGTGTGGCTCACAGAGGAAATGGCCTGTGAAGACACAAGAGCAGTGGAGGAAACGCGCCCAGGCCTCGGCCCGGCTCCAGCCCAGCGGGGAGCTGCGTGCCTGGACTCAGAGCCCCTCGCCCCCTGCATAGCCTTCCAGGCCCCAGACAGCACCACGTCCACGAGTCACCCGAGCTCCTGTCCTTCGTCCTACTAGAGAGCTGTCCCCACACTCCCTGCGCTGTCTCCTCGCAAACTCAAGTCCAGGGAGAGCCGCAGCCCAACGTCCTGGGCTAGCGTGTCCCGTGGCACCCCCGTGTCCTGACGCAGCATCCCCGCCATGTCCCGCTCATCCAGCCCGGGCCCGTGCCCCCCGCAGACCTCCTGTCCCCTGAGCTGTCTGCTCTGCCCGTGGCGTCCCCCCCCCCCCGACATTGGTGGGTCTCACACTGCACCGCCAGCTGCAGGGTCCTTCTGCCTGGCGGCCTGATGATGGTGGCGACCCACGGTCCCGATCTACACTGAGTGCCGTGGCTCTCCATTCTGGTGGGGAGTCCCTCCTGCGCCTCCCTTGCCCCCGGGACACCTCTGGGCTCTGCTTGTGTCTGAGGCTCCCAAAGTCACTCCTCGTGGAGCTCAGCCTGGTGCCCGCCTCGTGGGAAAGCGCTCGGGGAGAGTGCACGTCCCGAGGTTCCACTCCAGTTCTGCCTTGTTTTATTTTGAAATATGTCTCCGAGTGTTGTCGTGCCAGTTGCTGTGTCCCTGCAGGATTAACCCTTGATTTACCATTGAAGGTGCGTCCTGTATGTGTACCATCAGAAGAGACCGGCCGACTCCAGAAACACTTTCGAAAGAATGTGACTCTCGGGGCGCAGGGGTGGCTGCAACGGTGAAGCATCTGCCTTCAGCACAGGTCGTGATCTGGGGGTCCTGGGACTGAGCCCCACATCGGGCGCCCTGCTCAGTGGGGAGCCTGCTGCTCCCCCGGTGTGTGCCCTCCCTCGCTCTCGGACAAGTAGATAAATAAATAAAATCTTTAAAAAAATGACTCTCTATGCATGATTTTCCTGATTCCTTGGTCGAAGCATTTGGGGGCACAGAGGAGGGAAGGTCTGGCGCCGGGCGAGTAGGGCGGCTCCCCAGGCTGGGAGCTCCAGACAGTGGGCTCGTGTCCTCCTGCCACCGTCCCAGCATGGGGGCCACCCCCACTGTGCTCACAGGTGCAGAAGTTCCCTCCCTGCTGCTGCGGAGACAGAAGGGAACCAGGACTTGTTAAAAGCAAGAGAAAACAAAGATTTTGGCTTATCTTTTTTGAAACAAAATTGTTGTCACCCAAAACAACGACACAGAATTTCCCAAATCCCTCATGGCTGTCCGTGGCTTTGCATGGCAAAGAGTAGTTTCCCCCAGTTTCTTTAGCTCACGTGAACAGGTGTTTCCTCTCGTGAAGACAATGTAATGCAAATACACTTTAAAAGATTGTGTAAAAACAAAATGAAAAATCTTTTGCTGGTGACATAGCGAATCAGGGCCCTCACTGTGGCCTCTAGTCCACTCTCCCTTATTGATGCGAAAGCCACTGGGCACCAGCCCGCGCCCTGCCCCCGACGGCACAGCCCACACCCGTGTCACCCCTGAGATGTGACCTCTCATCTTTGTGTCGCTGGGGCCCGCATTCTGCAGAACAAAGATAAAAGAAGACACCACACAAGGATCATTAAAAGTTTATTGTTTTATTTCGATATCGACCGACGGTGTGTCGTTTCCACGAGGCCCCCAGCATCACCGTGCTCGCTGTCTGGGGTGGCCGCACACAAAGATCCCCTGGCCGACGGTCAGCTCGAAGACGTAGAGCGTGTGTGTGTGTGTGCGTGTGTGTGCGTGTGCGTGTGTGTGTGTGCATGTGTGTCATGAAATGTGGAGGTTTCGCTTCTGAAATTTTGTTCCTTGTTCCCCCGAAACCCTCTCATCACTGAGGCTATGGGTTAATAGACATTACATTACGCCCACACCGGGCATCGGAATTAGGACGGGGTTACGTTGGTGTGCTGACTACTCCTCATCTTCGTTCTAAGGGAGGATGACGCCGGTGTGGCTCCTTGCAAGGCCTCTAAGACGTAGCTAAAATCAAATGGTGGGTCAGTGTGTTATGAGGGGAGCACAGGAAAGGTGAGCTTGAGTTAGAAAAGACAGGATTTAGAGGAGCCCCCGTCTCTGCTCGCAAGGCCGGCCAGGCTCGGTCCCCACGACGTCCAGCCCTGCCACTTGGGACGCGGGCCCTCCGAAGCCCGTGGCCATGCGCGTCCGTGTCGGGATGCCAGCTGACGGAGGTTATCTGTCCACCGAGGGTTAGTATCTGCCGTGCGCACTGCCGTGAGGAGCACCGCCGGTCACCTCCCACAGTGACCAGGGTGACGCCGCAAGGCCACCCAGAAAACTTCTCCAGTCCCACTCTGAGACGAGCGTCTCCCTGGACCCTCCTGCTGGGCTCGGGGGGAAACAGGCTGTTCGTAGAAGCCGCTCTGGCTCCCGCCGTGCCATCACCTAATTTCCAAGAAGATCCTGTTTCCCACTGGGGCCGTGGCCCAGCCCAGCTCTGCCTCCTTGTCCCCTCGCAACCGCGCCTGAGACCCGCCAACCGGGTGTGGTGGGCAGCCACCGCCTGCAGGCGCCCTCCGCGCCCACCACATGGGACTCTCCCAGCTACCCGCCCGCACTGCACGTACTGAAAGCCCCTGTGCCGCTCCTGACTGCTCATCCTGGAGGGAGAGTGAGTGTGTGTTAGGAGGTGAGCCGGGGGCGGGGAGAGAAACCAAAGGAAACAAAGGAAGCTCGGATCAGCAGTCCTCACCGCCCCGCACGCATCCCTGTGTCCACAGCGGCGTCACACGGCAGCACCTGCGAAGCCTGGGGAAGCTGAGTCAGCAAAGCCAGTCCGAGGGAGGAGGGTGAGCTCGGAGGTGCGTCCGTGCCCCAGCACTGCCAGCGTCCGGGCCACGCTGGGCGGAGGGGGCTCCAGGCACGCGCTCTCTTTGGACACAAAGTCGCCGCTGACCGTTTGTCTGCGTCTCCTCCGCTCGGCCGATGGCCAGAACCGCAGGGCGCGGAGTGCCTGGCCCACCGTGTGCGCAGCTCAACGGGCATTAGGCAGGGGTGTTTGCTACACGTGGGGAACGGATGTGGACGGTATTAAATTCGTAAGGCAGTTGTATTAAGAAGCTGAGGACAGGATTCGGGGACCCCAGGGGAGGGCTTCAGCGTCTCGCCATGGGGGATCCGGAACGACTGTCTCTTCCTCCCTGAGAAGAGGAAACACACAATTAGACGACGTGCGTGGGGCCAGGGCCTCTGCTCCCGCACCAGGATCCCGCAGCAGGAACCCCACTCGCGGACCATCTCGCCTGGCTCTGAGGCTGGGACTCTGGTTGCATGTGTCCCAGCACTCTGAGCGCGAGCTCGCCCGGTGTGCCGGGACCCTCGGAGAAGCTCCCGGGCTGCCTGCCCAGGACCCCGAAAGCTGGCACCCACGTCACGTATGGGGGGCCGAGACCAAGAGGCCCCCGGAAGCAAGGTACCTGTGAAAGCACACGTCACCAGATGCCACCTGCGCCCTGGACACCGCCCCGGTCGTAGTGCGGCCGCCACCCTGCGCAGCGAGCTGGGCGTCGGAAGCCTGGCACCGGCGACGCCCCCTCCTGTGCCCATGCACAGAGGGAGACCACAGCTCGGATCTGTCGGGCTAGGGCTGTTTCCAGAAGACCCTCTACATTGTTCAACAACTGCTTTATGGGGTGTTTGTTTCCTCGGTGAGAACATTTACGGGACTCCAGCCCCTGGAGTACCTGGCGAGCCCCCGGGAGCGGCGGGGCCGATGGCCCGGCTGGCCTTCCACAAGCCGGCCCTCAGTGCTGCCCTCCGGGGGAGCCCAGCGCAAGTCTGCACGAGCCTCCCCGCTTTCTGAGCCCCCCAAAATTCACCTGCGCGGCTCCCTGGCAAGTGCAGTCTCATTCTGAAAAGGGGCGGACCCTCTGTTCTAGGAAGGGTCCACCCGCCATCCTGTGCAGCACAGTCCCGTGAGACAGCATTTCACCTCCCCGGGCTCCGTCTGAGCGCAGGACAATGGTGGGCATCCGGTGTTATTTCTATGACTGTGCCTGCTCCTAGCAAGTCCCCACCACGGCGGAAGGAGACGCCAGCCCGGGAGGCGGGGTGCTTATTGTCCCTGTTTTCCAGTCCAAGGAGCCAGAGCACAGCCCCATTGAGTGACGCCCCATGGCCACACGGCCAGCGGCGGAGTCAGGGTTCCACCCAGCAGCCCTGCTGGGCGGGTCTCACGCTCTCCTCCCTGCCAGGTTCTCCGCACATTCGAGCAGGTCGATGCCAGCAGCGGGTTGGCCCCGGGCTCAGCTGAGTGGACGGGCAGGACCACGAGCAGGAGGTCGGCCTGAGGCCGCATCTGGGGTAGGAAGGAAGGGGACCCGCGGGAAGGCCGTGCGTTCCGTCCCTGCCTTCCCCACCCCTGTGCGGGAAACTCTCAGCTGTGCATTTGCAAAGAAGAAACTGGTAATATTTCGATGCAGTTCCCTAATGATTCAGAGAAATGCAGGGTTTCCAAGCAGTTCCCAGCCCACGGGGTGGGCCATCTGTGGCAAGGGCACCCCCTTGAGTACTGGGGAACCTGCGTCCACACTCACTGCCTTGGAACCCTTCTCGCCTCTGAGGGAGTTTTCAGTCGATGGTACCACGCGCGTGGGCTCACTCAGCCCTGCGACCGCGGCTGGCCAGTTCATGGACATTTCGTGTAGTAAAATCTCACGAAAGCCACAGTCACTGAATTTGATAAACTGAAGCTTCCCTTGAACCCCACGGAAGCTTTACAATTTCTAAACTACTTTGTACAAACAGACATGTAGGAAAACATGGAACCGAGTGAAAACGATTGGACCTCACAGGCTTGTGTCTGACGCCCACGATGAACATGCTGGACAGGGACGCGGCTGGTCCGCTCGACCCGCAAACTTCTCGCCTAGGCGGGGCAAGATCAGCACACATGACCCCATGATTACTGGGGTCACAGACCCAACTATTCCACCATAAATGGTAAGACCGTGATGTGTTAGGGGACTGATTAGAAAGCGCCCTCATGCGGATTAGAGACCTCCTATCAAGGGTGACTAGGGCTGAGGGGCCTCGTGCGTGGCTGCCTGAGGCTGAGCCCGAACTGGGGGAGACCAGGAGCCTGCGGAAGGCACAGGTCCTGCCTTCCGACGGCCGGATCTCCAGCATGATACCGCCAAGCCGCACACAGCAGAGCCTTTTAGTGTTAAATCAGGTTGTCTACTGTGACCCCAGCGGGTGGTCTGAGGACAGGGGGAGCCAAGGGGATGCTCCTGTTCTCATCTGTAGCCCAGAACCCCTAGACATGCAATTTCCATGGAAACACACGGCTCCCCCAGGATGTGCCCGCCGGCCTGAAGACAAGTGGTGACGAAGCTTTCACAGGGGCGATAAGAATCCACGACGTGTCTGTCTGCGGGGCTGGAACACCAGCCGGCGGACAGGGTGTGTGGCCGTGCCCACGCTGACATCCCCTCCTACTGGGGTGTCTCGTCTTTCTCCGCCTGCAGCGATGTCAAACCCTCCCCCAGGAAGGACAAACAGGCTATTCCTCATGAGTTACTTTCTCCTGACAGGGGGCTGCGGGCACCCTGGGGCCTTACGCCTTCGCTGACACCTTTCCTGCCCTAACACAGGAACCCTGCCCTGTACGTGCTGGCGTCTGTCTCCCGATGACGCTTCTTGAGGGCGGAGAGGGAGCCGGTCCTGGGCACCTTGCAGGGAACCGTGGTTCTTGTTAGGTATTGGCTCTCTGGCCACGAGGCACAGAAGCCTGCGGCCTCGTGTGGATTCACGGGAAGGGGAAACAGCCGCCCAGTCGTTACTCTAACGAGGAAGTACGTGGGAACGTGACTCAGACAGCGGTGCCCGTGGCAGTCCGCCTGTGGGCACCCCATCCAGTGATGCACGGCACTCCCTCGTGCCTCAAGTCAGCCTGGGGACTGTCCTGGGCTGTCGGAAGGTGCAATGTGTCCCCATGGGACGTGGGGCAACCCTGTCCCCTTCCAGCTGTGAGCCCTGAGGTGTGGGCTCTTGCAGGGACCTTGGGTCCACTGCCAAGACCCCAGATGGGGGGCTGCAGAAACCCCAGCTCCATCTAGGCTGGTCTCTGCCAGCGACTCACGGCTAGCCTTTCAGCGTGAACGCCCATGTTGTCAGATGTCAGGGGACCCTAGTGATGCAGCCCTCTGGGGGTCCCAGGGCCTTCTGTGTGGGGGACCCCTTCGCTGTCTGATCTGTCTCCTCCGGGGCCTCTGCTTCCTCCAGTCTGGGCTTGCCCCCAGCTGTGTGACCGGTTCCTCGACCCTGGCCCACGAGGCCTTATCTGGCCCCTCCCCAGAGCTGTGGGCAGCCATCCAGGGGACCCTGCCTTGTCCCAGGGGCACTCATTCCAACCACGTTCTGTCCCCCACCACAAGAACATGCTCTCTACACGCCCCCCCGCCAAGAGCACACGGTGAGGCACGGCAAGCACCCATCCTCGGAGTGAGCCTGACCGCAGACGGACAGGGCGCGGTGGCAGCCACAGGCCCCCGACCGTGAGCACCGCCAGCCTGGGCTCTCAGCCTGCCAACGTGCCCCTATGTCCATTTGAGGCCCCTGCCCCCAGGGACGGCGGCTGCTTGTGTGCGGCCCCATGCCCAAGGCTGTTGGGCGTACGGGGTCCAGGCAGTTACAGCCCCCGAGGACGGCGTCCCGCAGGCCCTACGCTGGAGCTGGGGGGGAGGCCTGGGATCCCTGTGGGCTCCCTGGCCCGCGAGTGTACAGGAATGAACGGAGGCCAGCGGGCCCCTCTGCATACTGCGAAGCCAACCTTGGGCTCGACCAGAGCCGAGATGGGCAGCCGTGGGGCTCTCTGAGGCTCTGCTGCACTTCAGGACTGTCTGCGTCCAGCTGGAAGCCAGAGGGCCCACCCCACCTGCCGTCCTCACGATGCCTTCTCACGCCCCGTCCAGGTGCCCGGGCCCTGCCAAGCTCACACCTGACCATGGCCCCGGGGCCAGTGACCACAGTGTCCATATCAGGCAGCCCCCGTGGGTTCCCGGGACCTCTGGCCACCTGATCACTGACCTCCCCCGGCCCCTCGGCTCCTGCTCCCTTTCTCGGGGGTCAAAGATCTGAGGCCTCGGCACCAAGGGCTTCCAGACAAGGTCAGCGCCCACAGCCACCCCTGCTTCCGCAGGGCGCGGTGGAGCCTCGCGTGGGACCCCTCATGTATCCTCGAGGTCCCCAAGGGAGCCTGGGCCACCCCTGCAGACACGTCCTGGTCCCTGGGCCGGCCTGGCAGGTGAACCGCAGAGGAACAGTGTGTAAGGTCTGGGCCCAGCCCCTGCCCCACCCCCCGCCCACCCCCACCCCGCCTCTGGTCCCGCCCCTCGTCCACCCCCAGCGCACCCCTGACCATCAGAAGGGTCACAAGGGTTACGTTACCAGCTTGAAGATTTTGGAGAGCGTGCCCTGGGCGTCATGGGCCCCCTTGAACCCCTTGTGAGCTGGAGCTCGGCGTCCGTAGCCAAATCCTGGCTTCTGCCCCTCGCCTCCCTGCAAGAGACCAGAGAGCCCTCAGGGCGGCTGTGCGGGGGACGGGCTGCGGGGCGGGGATGGCCCCCGCTCAGCCTAGGCCCAGGGCCGAGCTCTGTGCTGCCACGTCGGCCCAGCCTGGGCTGCCGCGCGTTGGGACATGGGCGCCCAAACGCTCTCAGAGAAAGATGGGAGCCGGGACCCGCTCCACCGTGTGGCTCTCAAGAGCGGGTTGAGCTAACCCCGGTGAACAGCCTTGGCTCCCCTGCCCGCAGGAAGGGCGCACCCGGCCAGCTCTCAGCCCCAGGGGGCACTTTCCTGGGACTGAAGCAGCGGGAGGCCAGGCGCCAGAGCTGGGGGCGGGGAGGTCCCTGCCTGCTTCTCCAGGTAAACTCCTCATGTCTGGCCCCTCCTGCAGCAGCCTGCAGGGTCCAGAGCCTTGGCCTTAGCACAATTTACTTTTCTAAAGCGGAAGGAGAAGCTTCGGATTCTCTGGCCTGGATGAGCTCTCCCCAGGATGACCCGGCACCAGCTCCCCGGGCCATGGCTTCGGTGCCCTGAGAGCGGATGTGTGCACCCCCTTGGGGGCCCAGGATCTGGGCTGGTCGTGAAGGAGGGAAGGGGGCAGTTCCGGCCAGCAAGCCGTGTCCCTGCCACCATACACCAGGGCATAGCCGCAGGCACCCCACAGCCTGGACAGAGCCCTGGCTCTCCACTCCCTTGCCGTGCGACCTCGGACAAGTGTCAAAGCCACCCTGAGCCTCAGTTTCCTCATCTATAAAATGGGGTTAGGGGGGACTTGGAGGGTTCTGCAAGGTCACGGATGCGCTGCCCTGCCAACAGAGCCTGTAAGCTCGGGCACATGCTCACCGTTGTTTCGGGAGAGGCCGCGCCCGGCCTCCCGGTGCCAGCAGCCCCCACGCACTCGGGGAAGGAAGAAATTCCCCACGTGGCACAGAGCAGGGCTGGTGATTGCTGATGTGTCAGGATGTCCGCATCCCAGACTCGTCTACTTTCAGAGCTATTTTACTTTCAAATGATCTTCCCCCACGGACACAAGAAAGGAGTTGTGGGGCTTGGGTGGTGCTGACACAGGGAGGTTAGTGTTGGCAGAATGGGGATCCCCAGGCTCGTGCACCACGTCATGCGGGTGCCAAGCAGGCTGGGGTTCTCAGATAAGGTTGCCGCCTGCCCCGCGGCTCTGTCTTCACAGACAGGCTCTGGGAGTTCAGGTTCCTCGGCAGGACACGGGGGATCGCTCCGGTCTGCACCTGACAATCTAGTCAACGGAATAAACCTGGTGGAGCCCCAGATCCCTCTGCCTCGCCGAGGGTCCCTACAGCACGCAGGAGGGTCCCTACAGCACGCAGGTGCGTCCGGGCTGGAGGGAACGGGGATCCGTGCGGGCCCCCCGTATCCTAAAGGTGGTGGAGGCAAGTGGAGGGCGGGCTGCCCTGGGGTCCAGAGGTTCCTGTGGACGCGCTCGCTCCGGGACGTCCCACGGAGGGACAGGCCACGGCCAAGCATGCAGGTGCCATATGCAGACACACGACGCGGCAGGAAACCACGCCTCACACAGCAGTGTCACATTCTCCTGTCTCGCTTGCTTTTCTCCAACTAGGAACTTCTGAGAACAAAACTCAAGGGTGGGTTTCCAGATTAAATGATCTGCTTGACTTTTTGTCCTTTCCAATTCTTGGTTGCTTCTATCTTTGGATAACCTGGAATTTACCAAGAAATGTTTGACATAGTTTAGAAGAAGCACGGGCGACTTCCACACCCTCCAAGCAGGAAGGCCGTCCTGTAGCTCGAGAAAATGGACCCACGAGCAAATGAATGAGCTGGATCTGCTTTGGAAAAAAGAGAAACTGAATAAAGATTAGTAGGCTCCAAAACAGAGACGCAGAGGGGAGCAAAGGTCTTTCCGGTTAGCTGCCGGGTGAAGCGGGCTCCGAGTGCCCTGGGGGGGAAGGGCCTCTCCCTGCCCCGCACTTTCTCCAGGACGGCTGACTCCACATCCTGCCCAAGCGTCCAGGCCTAGAAAGTCAGGAGGCAGACCAAGGGGTCACCAAAACAAGAGTTCCTTCCACAGATCCTCTTGGTCTCCTGCTGGCACAGATAGTCAGACGTCGGTCGCGGCAAGGCCCAGCCCACCGGCTGCCTACACGCTCCGCCCCTTTTTGCAAAGTCGTTCACATCGTTCAGAAAAGGCTCAAATACATGTGCATAAAGCGTTCCAGCAAATTCCACGTAAGAACGTGCTGGGGCCATGCACGAGCCCCACGGAACCCCCTAACCTGCTCGGCGGGCCTCCCCGTCCTGCGCCCCTCCCCCCACACTGTTCTCGCTTCCCTCCTTTCTCTTTCTTTCAAACTTCGTTCATCCGTGTGTGTGATGCCCATTAGCTGAGCCCCACGGATGTGCCCGCCCTGCACTAGGGACTCGGGCTGGGTGTCCTGCGCACATGAGGTCCTGGCCTATAGGTCGTGGTTATTCTTCCATTTTATCCCGCAAATGGCAGCCTGAGCCAAGTAAGAGCCGTATCTGGCATTGACTCCTAACCGACGTCTACAGGTTTGGTTAGCACACGCCGATAGGCGTTTTCAGCCGGCTTAGACACCACCGCATGTCACCGGTGTCTAGAAAGTAAGCCGGCTGGCCTTTAAAATCGTGGTGGGCACTTGGTTCCCGGTGTTCCTCAGACGACGTTCCTGGATGCTGAGAGCTACACTGTGGTTATTGCTACGCCTGGTCTCGTGGCTTCATGAGACCATGTGACAGGGGGTGGCATCGCCAAGGGTCAGCCTGGGGGCCGGGCTGGGGTCTGGACAGCCCACCAGGCGCAGGCCTCCCTGGGCCTGCCCCATGGGAACCAGTATCTGCCCCCCCTTGTGCTGGAAGGAGGTCAAGAACTTTCTCAGGCATGGAGCCACCTGGTCCGGCGTGGAAGCAGAGACCTGTGCCCCGCTGCGGGGTTGGCGGCGGGGGCCCTGGATTCCCCTCAGGAGGAGAAGGTGGCCCTCGATGGCGTGGGCCCTGGGCCTGATGAGGAAGAAGGGGAGCCTCGCGGGGCGGGACGCAGATGCCGGGCAGCTGTGAGGAGCAGAAGGGAGAGGGAGCCGCGCGGACATGCCGTGTCACCTACCCAGCTAAATCTGCTGAGAGACAGTCCTCGCCCCTGTGGGAGAGAGAGAGACAGTGACATTGTCATTGAGGCAGGGAGAAAGAAAGTCTTTTACGAAACAAGCAGGTCAGGATGCTGCTGAGCGCGAGCAGTGCGGACACCCGCCGGGTCCCGGGGCGGGGGCGGCTCAGGGCGGATTCAGGGTGAGGGCGGAGAGGGGAGAGCAAGCTGGGAGCTGGCCCCACTCTCCGCTCGGTTTTCCGCAGCCTGTGCCACTCGGGGAAGTCAGGCAGCCGTGAGGCCCGCCCTCTTTTTGGTACATTTAGGGATTTCAGGGAAGGTCTCCAGGCGGAGTGACAATTAAGGACCGTGTTCCAAGGTCTTACCTTTCCTTGCGACGGAGGAGGTGTGCGTGGTGTCACCTACAAAGATACACAGAGGCCAGTGAGCGGGGGCGGGCACTTCCCTCCCCCACGGAGCCTCCTGCCCTCACCTGCCAGCTCTCGACCAGCCCGGGGTGGCCCGGAGACCTGGGGCCCCAACAGTCATCCCTCCCAGCCTGCCTCCCTGTTCTGTCCTTGTTCACGGAGACTGTAGGACCTGGGACGCCAAGGCCAGGCAGTTTGCAGAACACTCAGAAAGTGTTCAGACGAGGGCAGGAGGCTCTGTGAGCAGGACTGGTCCATCCCACTGAGGTCCCCGCACGCGCGTGCTGCCCCGGGGTGACGGTGACCCTCCCTTTGCTAAGGTCCTTTCTTGGGGTTGGAGGAAAAGCGTTGCCGATACTCAGGAGTGTTCTTGGGCCTGGGGCTCACTTGTCACTCACTCACTTGTCAACATGCAAAACACCCTCTTAAAATGTCTGTGGCACAAAACGTTTAGGATTGGAAGCTAGTGGTTTTGATTTTGTTTTTCAGTCTTTATTTTTGAGAGCCGTCTTAGGTTTCTAGAAAGAATGCACAGAAATTAGAGCGTTGCCACGGCTGCCCTCTTGTCCTGCACACTGTCCCCCTGTCTGTTACCACCTTGCACGCGTGCAGTTTGTGCATTACAAGCAGGAACCACGGCGGACGCACTTCCATTAAGCGAGTCAGAGTGCACAGCGAGGGTGTTCCTTCGGTGGGTTTGCTCCCGTGCGTGAGGTCAGGTGTCTGCCACCGCCGTATCACACGCAGTAGGTCCACTGCCCCATCTGTGCTCCCCCATCCACCTCCCTGTCCACAAACCCTGACAACCGCTCCTCTTCGCATCTTGTTAATCTTTTTGTCTCCAGAGTTTTGCCAAGCCTGCGTTTTTAAAGTGCGTGTCTCATAGTACTTTAGTCTCAAAAGGAGTGAGTTCTTCACTAGAACACAAAATTCAGTAAGTGGCAGATGGAGTCCAGACCTTGTGACCAGGTTCTAGGGCTGAGCTCCCAAGGCCAACCTCACCCTGAGGAGGAGGGAGGCATCATGGGGGATATACTCACATTCCTTGTGGGAACAGACTCGGGCCCCCATGGATTAGAGCTCGGGGACATCTGGGGATAGACTCAGGGTCATCTGGGGATAGACTCTGGTCCTCTCATATTAGAATCAGTGTCATCTGGCGATAGACTCAGGCCCCCATGGATTAGAGCTCAGGGTCATTTGGGATATACTCAGGTCTATTGTGGATTAGAGTTTAGGGTAATCTGGGGATATACTTGGGCCCCTCATAGATTACAGTTCAGAGTCATTTGGGGATATACTCTAATTCCATGGATTAGAGCTAAGGGTCATCTGGGGATTGACTCAGTCCCCCATGGATTGGAGTGCAGGGTCACCTGGGATATACTCAGGTCTATTGTGGATTAGAGCTCAGTGTCCTCTGGGGATAGACTTAGGCCCCCATGGATTAGAGCTCAAGGTCATCTGGGGATATACTTAGGTGCCCATGGATTAGAGCCCAGGGTCATTTGGGATATACTCAGGTCCCTTTATGATTAGGGCTCAGGATCATCTGGGGATAGACTCAGGTACCCTGTGGATTAGAGTCAGGGTCATCTGGGGACATACTCAGGTCCCTGCATGCTTAGAGCTCAAGGTCATCTGGGATATACTTAGGTATCCCATGTATTAGAGCTCAAGGTTATCTGGGGATATACTTAGGCGTCCCATGGATTAGAGCCCAGGGTCATTTGGGATATACTCAGGTCCCTTTACTATTAGAACTCAGGATCATCTGGGGATAGACTCGGGTACCCTGTGGATTAGAGTCAGGGTCATCTGGGGACATACTCTCAGGTTCCTGCATGCTTAGAGCTCAAGGTCATCTGGGGATATACTTAGGTGTCCCATGTATTAGAGCTCAAGGTCATCTGGGGATATACTTAGATGCCCCAGGATTAGAGCTCAGGATCATCTGGGATATACTTAGGTCCCTTCATGATTAGAGTCAGGGTCATGTGGGGATAGACTCTGGTCCCCTGTGGATTGAATTCAGGGTCATGTGGAGATAGACTCCGGTCCCCCATGGATGAGGCCGTGACTGGGCACCTGCTGCCCCCCAGGCTTGATTCTCCCCGCCGCCTGCCGCTCACAGTGGGATGGGAGCACTTACAATGTTCTTGAAGAAGTGCACTACGGGGTTCTCATCTTGGGGCCGGCCGTGCTGCGGCTTCTGAGGCAGGGAGCCGTAGTGGGCAGTTCTCGCCGCGTGATGTCCATCCTGAAAGAGAGGGCGTGGGGAGCTCGGGTCAGGTCCCACCCTCCGCTCTGGCCTCCCTGGGAGGCCTCTCTCCTCTCCTGGAAATGCACCTGGTTTCTTTAGGGTCGGGACCTCGTGCTGGGATGTGGCTGCCATGACTCGGGATGCTCGTGGGGCCCGCAGGGGAACAGCAGCCTCTCTGACTGTACCAGGGGTGTCTCCACCACGGACCTGGCACTGGGTCCCCCAGAGTCACGGCACAGGGAAGGGAAGGGGATGTCGCCGTGAGTCCACTGAAGACGGGCGCGGGGTGAGTGAGTGCTACGAGAAAGCTATCACTTCCCTGAGCTTCTGCTGTGGATGAAGGAGAACACGCGGGGATTAATGGCAAAAACCCCCACCATGAGCTCTGAAGGGGGTGTGTCACGCGAAATGGCCTCCGTTTCTCAAAATCAGCGCCCCAGGTCACAGCACTGGCACCCGCCCAGGTTGGGATGACCGCTTCCTCATCTTGAGCTGAGGGAAGGCTGTGGGCAGCGGTGCCCAGCCCTTCCCAGCCCCGGACGTGCTGCAGAGATGACACGGAACGTGGCGGAAGGAGCGAGGTCCACGGCGTACCAGCCCCCACGCGCCCCTGCACCCTGGGCTGAGCGTGGCCCGTACACCAAGCGCTCAGGCAGGTGGGCTTGCGGAACTGATCCTGGGGCTTCCCTCCTGCTCGCCCAGTAACATGCATGGGGAAGAACGTGAGGGAAATGAGGGCCACGGGAGCTTCTCTGGGGCTGGTCTGGCATCAGACGACCAGGGGCATTTCCATTACATGGGCTGAGGTCCCTGCAGGTCCTTCCTTCCCTCCTCAGCTTTGTGCAGCCTGTGTGAGGCCAAGCCTTTCTTCAAGAGACAGTTCGCCTCTAAGGAGTCTACCGCCTCCAGCATTTGAGGCCTTCGGTGGGCCTCACCTAACCAGTGACTGTTGTACCCTGGCTGGGCTGCGGTTGGAGGGACGGGTGCATGCACCCAGCACCCACTGTTGGGGACATGCCGGCTGACCCCAGATGTCTGTTTTCTTGCCTCAGACCCCCAGGTCTGCAACTCTGTGGTCACCCTTGCCTCCAGGAACATGTCTTGTCTCTCTCCAGTGCCCCGCTTGCATCCGCCCCTTCCCAGGACTGTCGCTAAAACAGAAGCCGGTGAGCTCTTCCTCTGCTTGTTCCCTTTCCAGCCAGGACGCGTCTGCAAACCTGGTGGTCCTCTCCCCGCTGCACTCCCGACCACCCCTGCTTTGGCTTTACCAAACAGAGCATGTTTTCTCTGGCCGGAGGACCGCTGCGAGCCCACCCGACTCCCAGCGACGCGGTGTGTGTGCTGCTTCCTGAGTGCGGGTCTTTGCTCTGACGGCGCGGCCACCTCGCTGTGCTACGGACACGTTCCCCACGCGCGGCCGGCCTCTGCACCATGGGGATCCTGCTCCCTGCCTCTGGGGGGGGGCCGTGCGCACTCTCGGCCCGGCCCCCGCGCCGGCGCTCCTTCCTCCGCCCTCTGCCCTGGTCACTCTGCCCTCCTCCCGAGAGGAGCCGGCTCCAGCTCACCCTGCAGACCTGGGGTATCATTAGCCTCCCACACTGCTCGCCCATGAGCAGCCTGAGTGTGCAGTGCCAGCGGCCTGCCGGGAGCCCGGCCGCTCGGGTCTGCCCCAGCACCTGCAGGGGAGGCCCGGGGAGCCGGGGGGCACTGAGCCTGGAGGCGTGGGCACAGCAGGGAGCAAGCCGGAGGGGTTCTGTTACTGCTGAAACTCCTGAGCCTTCCTGTTCTACCCGCTCTCCGCTGATGCCACAGGGACCCCAGTGACCCAGTCCCCTGCCGACCCTCGTCCAGCAGCCGGTCTCCAGCGTCTGGCCTCACCAGCCGGTCACACTCAACGTGTGCGCCAACCTCGTATGCTCGCCTCCAAGGAACGAGTGAGCATGAAATCAAGAACTAAAAAGCAAAACAGATGAGCCAGGAAATGATTTAAATTAGTTGCTTTAAGACAAATATCTTTTCAGTGTCTCACACGTCCCGCAGGTGGTCATTTACAAGATCCCGTGCTAACGGCCTGGACTGAGGCAGTCGGCTGGCTGCCCCGCGCACCCCGCTCTTCGCCCGTGTTCATACACCGCTCTCCTGCGCGCCCAGGACTGGATATTGGGTCACGGACGCAGCTCACACCCGTTACGGACACGCCTGTGGTTAAACTAGAGAAACGCCTCAAACTTTACACAGAGGTTTTCACAGACGTGACTGGAGAGTCCTGTGACGCGGCCCTCGGACAATTCAGATGTGCTCATGTTGTGAGCTAGACACGGAGGTGTCACACAGGTGATAACACTTCTCACGTGACTTACGCACGCCGGCTCTGAACGCTGCAAGACAAATTATGTACTTTGTGATTTTTTGCGATGAAGACATTGGTCGCCAACCTTCTGAGGGAAGCGTAATTGAAAGGAGGCATGAAGCTGGTAAACCGCATTTGGGCTCTGGGAGCACAGCCTCGGGGGTCAGCGCCGCTCATGCAAAGGGTGGTGGGCGTGTTTATTCAGAATCCGCGGCACGGAACTGAGCACGCGGCACGCGTGAACCGCGTGTTGGACTGACGTGCTGGCGCGCAGAGCACCTCTAATACAGAGCTCACACAGGCGTCCGGCTGGAACCACGCTTCTTCCGTCACACGCACGGCGAAGTCCCGCGCCCCCAAGCATGGACTCGACCTGGACGCCTGGTTGCAAACTGACGGCCGCGTGGGGGATCCGAGGTCGTCCCGATTCCAACTGCATCATTCTATCTGTCGTGCCCTCGCGGTAAAATGACATGTAACCAACCACATTTCTACACATTGCATATTGAAGAGTCAGAAAAAACAGCAAAATTTGAGAACAGTGCCGTGCACAATAGCATCAGAGAATGAAACTGTTAGTATAAATGTAGGAAACACAGATGGGGTCTCTACGCTAAACGCCAGGAGATGCTGGGGAAGAGAGCAGAGACCTGAGCCGGCAGGCAGACGTCCGTGTGTGTGGACGGCAAGGCTCAGCGCGGCAAAAGTGTCCGCTCTCCCCAGACAGCCGGACGTCCTGGAGGCCCTTCCAAAGTCCCAGCAAGGTTTTGTTGAGATACAGACAAGCTGTTTCTGAGACTGTAACAGAAATGCCAAGGGACCAAAATGGCCCAGCGATTGTGGAAAAGAAGAATAAAGCTCGAGGACACGCCTTGATTTCCAGGTTTCTATATAGTGCACGTAACGAAGGGAGTGTGGTGTTGGATGGGGGACAGACACGATCGGCCAGCCCTGTGTCCAGAAACCGGCTCAACAAATGTGACCCACTGGTTTCTGAGGAAGGTGAAGACGCACAGACCGTTCAGGAGTCTTTTCAAAAAATGGTTTTGGGACAACCATGTCTCCATATTAAAAAAAAAAAAAAAAAAGAACCTCAACCCAGTGATGCACCTTATCCAAAAAGGAACTCAAAACGGACTATAGATCTTTATCAACAACATAAAACTGCACAAATTTAGAAGAAAGTATAGTTCTTAGACATGACATCCAAGGAATGGCCCATAAAATTTAAAAACTTTGGTTTTGCCAAAGACACTGTTAAGAGAATGAAAAGTCAGGCTACCGCCTGAAGAAAATATGTGCAAAACACACATCTGACAAAGCACCTAAAACCAGGCTATGGAAGGAGCTCTCAAAACTCATCGGTTAAAAACAACCCAATTCAAAATGACGGCCCAGACACGGAGTCGATGCGGCCTGGGGCACGACAGGGACATGAAAGGCTGCTTGGCATCATCAGCCACTAGGAAAATGCAGCTCAAAGCCACAAGAAGACATCACAGTGGGCGAAATTTAAAATACTGACAATACTAAGTGTTGGCAAGAGTGTGGAGCACTGTGAGCTCTCTTGCACTGCTGGTAAGAATGCAAAATGGTACAGGCCTCTGTCAAGCAATCTGGCAACTTCTTCTAAAGTTAATCATTTACTTCCCGTAGGACCCAGCAACCCTACTCCCTGCTTTGAAGGGTAGAAGGCAAACAATATTTCTGGAACTCTTTTTTTTTTTTTTTTTGTAATGAATATATTGGCCAAGAACTTCTTGAGGGAAATAGTAATTTCAATCTTAAATGAAAACTTCTGTTCATTAAAAAAACCCAAACCTGTCCACGAGTGTTTGTTAGCAGCTCAATCCTGAAGATCACTAATCAGCCTAAACAACCCAAACGTTCCTCAGTGAGAGGAAAGGCAGACGGAAGTGCAGCAGGAAGACGGGACAAGCGTGATACCTGCGGAAACTCAGAGGCATCTCCACGGTGTCACGCCGAGCGGAAGAAGCCACTCTGAGGTTTGCGGGACGTTCTTCTAACGACTCAGCCATGGGGGGAGCAGAGCGGCAGTCGCCAGGGCGCAGGGATGGGCGAGGGGAGGCTGTGGCGTGGGTACGATGGGAACGCAGGGGGGACGGCTCTGGGCTGAAGCGGCCTGACTCTGCTGGCAGCCACAGGAAGGCCACAGGCGTTAAAATCCACAGAACTGCACACAGAAAGCGCATCTGTGTCTCTAGATTAGTACCGAAGCTGGGCCACCGCCATTAGCAGGGTCTGTCTTTATGAAGCCGAGTGTTGAAGAAGACACTGTGTCGTCACCAGGACTGTCCAGCTGGAGGCCCGTGTCCGTGAGTCTGGCCGTCCCTCCAGATGCACCAAGCCCTCGTTTCCCTGTCCCTGGCCCCTGGTGCCCACCACCCCCTTTGCATTTCCATGGATGTAACCGTTCCGGGTACCTCGCAGGGGAAGGCTGGTGGGTCCTGCCGTGTCTGGCTGCTTGCAGTCCTGCCCTCTGAGGCTCACCCGTGCGGGAGCAGCCGCCACATTCCCCTCCTAGATCACTCAGGCTGGATGACGTTCTGTCGCATGGACACACCCTTTGGTTTGTCCATTCTTCCATCGAGGGCACCTGGGGGTCTCCCCCCTTGTGGCTTCTGTG